TGGTCTCAATGCCCCTGCTCAAGCCTCAGGTGCGATACAGCTGCATCCGCCGGGAGGACGTCAGCGGCATTGCCTCCTGTGTCTTCACCAAATACGGCCAAGGTGTGTACAGGCCTGGATGAGGGCCTCAGCGAGGTTGGAGTCCCGTGAAAGGGTATCTCAGGCGCTGCCAGGGGATGGAGAGGCAAGAGCAACTCAGACGCCAAGCTCTGCCTGGCAGGCTCTGCCCTGGGCGAGAAGTGTCAAAGGAAGCTCTGTCCTCATCTCCCTGGGAGGGAGATCTGCCACAGCCACAGGGCCCAGGAGCCTTGGCCTGGCTTTACTCAAGGCTTCTCTGCCTCTCCTCAGGTTTCTACCTGATCTCACCCTCAGAGTTTGAGCGCTTTTCTCTCTCCACCAAGTGGCTGGTTGAGCCCCGGTGTTTGGTGGATTCAACCAAAACCAAGAACTACAACCGTCCCAGTAATGGCAATGGCACAGGCCCCAAAAGGACCTCGGGCCAAGTCAGGTGAGGACAGGGGCCAAGGGGCCTTTCCCAAGCCTTGCTAAATGGCCAAGGCGCTCTGCTTCCTGTGCCAGCTATCAGGCCAGACCTCCTCCACTGCTGCCTGTTCAAACCTAGTCAAACAGGTTGGCCTCACCCACTCTTCGTGGGACCGAGATTTTCAGAGCCCTCACTGTCTGCCCCTCCACAGGAACTCAAGGAGCCAGAGTGATGGGGAAGGTAAGACGGGCCTGTCAGACTGCTGTGGGGCTCACCTGGGACACAGCCGCTTAGACTGTGGTAAAGGGAGGAGAGAGGCTCAGGGTGAATGAGAGGGAAGAGTTCAGGCTGGGTGCGAGAACGGATGTTTTCCTGTATCTGGGGCTCTGGCTTCCAGCTCTCACCCCCTTAACCCCTATAATGAGAGGGCTGGGCAAAGGGCCCAGGACAGGCCCACCTGACCACTCTGCCTTCCAGAGAAGAAGCCTGGCCCGGTGATGGAACACGCACTGCTCAATGATGAATGTGAGTCAGGGCAGGGGTTGGTGGGGCTCACAGGAGGGAGGGGAAGCATGTCTTGGGGTATTGGGCAAAGCTTGGAAGGTCAGAGGAAGCCAGGAGTGCTTTCTGTGGGCCAGGGGACATGCCTGTCTGACACCCCATTGGTAAAAGAAAGTGTCTGGTCTCACCCCAAAGCCTCACTGGGTCTTTCCTACGCAGCAGGGGTCCTAAAGGAAATCCAGAGCACGCTGGAGGGGGACCGGGGGTAAGTCACCACAGTGCTGGGACAATGTGGGGACTGGGGGCTGAGACCACTCCGGATGCTGACTCCCTGTCTTTGCCCCCTCAGGAGCTATAGCCATCGGCGTTCTCACCGTGTGGCTGTGGGGTGCGGCCTCGGCAATGGGGAAGGTAGGGCTGTGGGCACTCCAGAAGAGGGGAGGGCCTGCTGCCCAGGGAGAGACAGCAAGAAGATCCCTAACTGCCTCCAGGGCCGTGTCAGCCCTGGAAATGGCCGATGGTATTGAGGAGGCAGGTGACTAAGGTACCTTTCCTACCCAGGAGGCTCCTGACCTGCTGTCTCCTCATGTCCCTCCACAGCAGAGTGAATGGGACAGCATCCAAGGCTGTGAGATGAACACTACTGAGGGCCCTTCCAGCCCGAGCCCGGCCAGGGGCTGCCGGTACCCTGGTCACCATCCTGTTGCTGCTCCTGGCCTCGGGAGAGGAGAGACCTCACCCTGGGCTGCCCTTCCTGGGCCTTGTCTGTCTTGATCCTTTTGTTAATGTTGCACAGTTTTTATTTCCACCCCTTTTGTAGTGGGCTGGGTTTTAAGTTATAAATTTTAACTGCCTCTGAGTAAAACTGACTTTTTAATAAACCTCTTGTTATGTCTTCACTGGAACAGCCTGAGGACCCGAGTTTTTCCGTCTCTTTAGGTATGAAGAGATGCTCAGAGAACCCCCTCTTTGGGTATGTGAGTCACCAAATGTGGCTAAAATTTCTCCCAGTGGAGTAGGGGGAGGCAAGCAGCAGCTATCTCTCCTAAGGTCCCAGTAACAAACGGAGGCTTGACCTGCCCAAGTTCATCCTAGGGGTGTTAGTGAGTTTATTGGCCTTTCTTACAGAGCACATGTGAGGGTAGGTAGCGTCCCCTCAGCAGGCCACTCCTGAAAAGAGAACTTCTGTAGTAACAGGCACCCACACTGGTGGAGACCTCCGGCTGCCTTAAACTCAGAGATCCACCTGTCTCTGCCACCTGAGCAGGCTGGGGTTAAAGGAGTGTGCCACTGATGCCCAGCTGGAAGATCGTTTTTAAGTTATGATTTTTAAGCCTGACACGTGTCATGCCCAGAGAGCTGGATAGCCCCACCCACGGTCACAAAGGGACTAGTGACATGAAGTTCCTGCTCAGAAGACAATCAGGGCCCTGGGGTGTAGCTCAGAATAGAGCCCACGCTTGGCATCTTTAAGGGCCCCTTTCTCCATGCCAAAGAAATGGTGGCAGAGCCGGTACTCCTGTGACCGGGAAGCAACATGCCCGGAAATGTTGTGGATTTACCCCCTTCCTTCCTAGCAATGGGCTCTCTAAGTGCCAGGGGGTCGCTTGCTTCAGACAACTTGGAAGTAGGAGGAAAACTCCAGGCATACACAAACGGAAGGGCTAGGCAGCCTGCGCTGTGTAGCAAGCCGGTTGGAGGAAGCTGGGCTAGCATGGGAGTCCTTGCAGCAGTCTAGGGGAGAAGGGGCAGTGCTGAAATAGGAGCATCAACGGGCTATTTGGTAGAGTGCTTGCCTGGCAAGCAGGAAGCCATGAGCTCATGCCCGTAGTCCTAACACTTATGAGGAAGAGGATCAGTTCAAAGCCAACCTCAGCTACAAATATGTTCAAGGCTAGCCTGGGCTACCTGAATCTTTTTAAAAAACACAGAGAAGAGATTGAGATGGGTAACAGTGTTTCCTTAGACTGTGAAGTGAAGATGAGAAGGCTCTGCCTGTGACCAGCATGTGACCCTAAGTAGGTGATTATGGTGTGGGTGTGGGTACTGAACCTGGGTTTTCTGCAAGAGCAGCAAGTGCTTTTAACTGTTGGGCCATCTCTCCAGCGTGTTGGGGCAAAGTTAAACGACAGGAAGGAAATGGGCTCTGAGGGCCAGAGATGCCCTCCACATCCACCCAGCTGGGTGAGATGCAAGCCCTGGCCTAGCCGATTCATGAGGAGAACGATCCTGGAACTAAGCATCTAAAGAGTGGGGCTGGAGAGATGGCTCAGAGGTTAAGCACTGGCTGCTCTTCCAAAGGTCCTGCATTCAGTTCCCAGCAACCACGTGGTGGCTCACAACCATCTAAGATGAGATCTGGTGCCCTCTTCTGTCGAGCAGGTGTACATGCAGGCGGAACACTGTATACATAATAAATAAATAACTTAAAAAAAAAAGAATTCAAGAAAATCCCAGTACTTGGGGGAAGCAGAGGCAAGTGGATCTTTGTGAATTCAAGGTCAGCCTGGTTTACAAAGCGAGTCCAGGACAGCCAAGGCTAGATAGAGAAACCCTATCTCAAAACAAAACGAAAAAGGAAAAGGGTTCCAAAAAGAATCAGGGAAGCCAGGGAACTTAAAGCAGGCAGTGCTGTAATGAAACCAACAAAGAGGTCCAGGCGGAGTGTCTCGTCCTGCTGAGACTTTCAAGTAAAAACACGTGTGCTAGAGAGATGGTTAAGAGCACCGGCTGCTCTTTCAAGGGACCCGGGTTTGATTCCAAGCACCCTCAAGATGGTAAATTTCTACAGTGGCCAAGACAATCTGGCCGGCAGTCAAGTCCTGGGGTCTGACGATGAATTCTTCAAGGAGAAGGGGGACACTTCTTTCCACAATGTTACCGCTCAGAATAAACAGCTGTCTCAAAGGATCTTCAGTGAAATAGACGGTGTACTTTATTTCATGAGAACTGGGACTTTACAAACCTTGGGCAGTGGGGAGGGGGTGGGCGTGAGCGTGTTTCATTGGCTGGGACTACGAGGCTGGAGATGCTCTGTTTACATGGGGAAAAAAAGGTGACAAGCTCACGTGACTACCTGTAACCACCTTGGGGCTGTGTCACGTGCTCCTGAGGCAGGCACAGACACAGGGAGAGAGCTTTGTCCCATACCTTCCATTCTCAGGATGAGATTTTAAATCTCAAATTTGAGATTTCCAGGGTTTGATCATTCTCCATCTCTCCAGTTCCATGCCAGCTCCCCTGAGGTACACAGGCCCCCATACAGTGTGAGTTCCAGGACAGCCAAGACTACACACAAACCCTGTCTCTTGAAAAACCAACCCACAAACAAACAAAAACATACAATAATTTACCAATACAATCTATATTCCTGGTGGGTCACCAGAAATTCCGTGGGAGCACAGAGCCTTCAAGAGTTTATCCCTCAGGGCAGCGGTGCACGCCTTTAATCCCAGCACTCGGGAGGCAGAGGCAGGAGGATCTCTATGAGTTCCCGTTCCATGATTCCAAAGGGGTCCACAGGCTGTACCCCAGTTCAAGGTGTATACTCCCATCTCAGGCATGTTGTCTTGGTAAATTGTATTGCGCAATGGAAAAGAGTAGAAGCCCGATTGTCCCCTGCGCGCTCCCATAGCCAGGATCCTTGCCTCCTGGAGGAGCCCCAGGTAGACAAGCTTCGCTGGTAGTGAGGTTGGAAGCAGAGAGGGTCTCCTCCGTCTGGCCCAGTGCCAGGCTGACCTGCCCTTCAGGGAGTCCCGCGCTGCTGCCCTGTCCACGGCCTTTGTCCCTCGCTGCAGCGGCTCCTCTTTCCTCCGCCTTCACTCCATTGTTGGCCAAGGGGGTCAGGACCCGCCGCCTCCTGCATAATTGATACTGCTGCCCAAGAGGGGAGACTCAGACAGACTGAGCCCACAACCCAGCCGGGGCAGAGAGCGTCAGCAACTGAGACCTCAGGGCACCCGTGGGCAGTCAGATGAAAACGCAGAAGGAGCAGAAGGACGTCGGGCCGGCAGCCATGGGCGGAAGCAAGGGTAAAGCGCCCCAGCGCCGGGCTCGACCCGGGAGGCCAGTCGCAGCCGAGCGGGAGTCGGGGTCCGCCAGCGCGGACGGGGCCTCCAGCGGGGACGGCAGGCCAGCTCGCGGCAAGGGCCGCAGGACCAGGCCCGCTCCGGGGCTCGAGGCCCCCGGAGGCGCGGGGAGCGCTGGGGGCCACGGGAAGCCCACCGAGGAGGGGCCCCCCCGCTGCAGGCGTGCATCCCAGGAGGCCCAGGAGAGGCAGGGCGGTTCGCGGCGTCCGGGACACGGGCCCAAGGAGAGTCGCGAACCCGGGGACAGTTGTGGGGAGCAGAGACTCCCCGGGAAAGAAGCGCGGCCGCCCAAGCGCGGCCGCCGCAAGAAAGGAAAGGAGAGGGGGCCTTCGACTCGGCGTCGAGGGCCTGGAGAGGCGCCTGGGAGGGGTGGGGACACGTCGGGCGGGGACGGTGGCAGCTCGTGCCTGGACAGTGAAGCCCGCGAGGCCCAGGACAGCAGCAGCCAGGGCGGTGGAGCCCCGGAGCGGCCGGACAAGACGGAGCCTTGGGATGCCGGCTCGGGAGGCGCCCCAACCCTGGGACCCGGGGCAACTCTGGCGCAGGCCAACCGCCCTGGCAGCAACCATCCAGGCAGCGACAGACACGCCCTGCAGCTCCAGAGCAGGGAAGGGTCCTCGGGGTCAGGGCCTCAGGGAGTGAGTGATGATTCCCGGACAGACACAGACTCGAGCCCCAGGTGGGCTGGGCACGGAGGTCGCCCACCCAAGACCCCAGGAACCTGGAGCCGCATCCCTGAGTCCCCGGAGACAGAGCTGGGGAGGGGGGCTGCAGCCTCCAGCTCCCTCGAGAGCGTCTGCGTGCGCGTCCCCAGGGGCCCTCAGAGTCCTGGAGACACCAGTGACCCCCGGGCACAGCCCAAGGCTGAGCTGCGGGGCGCTGAGGCTGAGCCGGCGGAGGCCCTCGGGGCTCAGAGCCTCCAGGTCAGAGAGATGGCGGAGAAGGTGCCGGTGGTTGCGAGCGAGAGCGACGGGGGAGCCAGAGAGCGAGCGGGAGCGGGCCACCGAGCACCCCGGGGCCCGTCGCCGCTGGCCACGCTGGTGGTGCTCCGTAGCCTGCGCGCGCGGCCCCCCGCTGGCCCGTCTCCCCAGCTCGCGGCTGGCGCCCGCGCGGGCCTCAAGGCGCGGCTGCAGCGCGTGGCGCGGGCCCTGGGTCTCCTGCGCTGGCTGCGCCTGCGGGTGGCGCCGCGGCGGGGCGACGCCGACGGGCCCGGCCCGCGGGAGCGCG